TCTTAGTACTATTCTGTCTCCATTATTGTTAATTATACTTGAACACTAATTATGAAGAAGACCTGGATGGTTGACATGGGAGGTCAAAATGTTCTGTACAGCTGTCAACTTTAAAAGTGTTTTTGGAGTCTAGAAACCCACACTTATGGACAGTTAATTTACCAAAAGGGGGCCAAGAGTATAAAATGTACAAAAGAACGATTCTCTAACAAGTGGTGCTGAGAAAATAATAGCCATACACAAAAGAAGGAAACGAGATCACTGTCTAAAACCATATACTCACATGGCATAAGACTTGGCTGTAGGACTTGAAATCATAAAATACAGAGGCAAAGTACTCTAAAACATTGGTGTCAGGGGAGTCTTTGGGAACTTAACTCCAACAGCAAGGGAACTATAAACAAAAGTAAATGGGACAGACTACATTAGACTAACTGCGCAGTGAAAGAAATTGTCATAAACGAATAGATGCCTACTAAGTGGGGGAAATTGTCTCACATAATACATCTGACAAAGGGCTAATGTCCAAGATAAAGAAAGAACTCATACAACTCAACAAGAAAACAAACAGCTCAGCTAAAAAATGGGCAGAAGAGGTAGGCAGATACTTCTCTAAAGAAGACATACAGATGGCCAGTAGGTACATGAAAAAATGTTTGTCATCAGGGAAATACAAATCAAATCAAAATGGAATACCACCTCACTCCTGTGAGAATGTTCCTTGTCAAAACACCAGTAGCACCAAGTGCTGGCAAGGGTGTAGAGAAGACACATTGATGGAAATGTAGACTGATCCAGCCCTTATGAAAACAGTATGGCGATTTCTAGGAAATATTAAAAGTAAATCTACCTGAAAATAAATAAAATTAGAATTGCTTTATAACAAAGCAATCCCACTCCTACATACCTATCCCAAGAACACAAAAACACTAATTTGAAGCAACATAAGCATGCACTCCTATTGTAGCACTATCTACAGTAGCAAAGTAATAGGAACAACCTCAGTGTTCAATAAAAGATGAGTAGATTAAAGAAGTGGCGTTTGGTGTATATGCAACACACATACATACACACACAACAGAATACTTAGCTTAAAAAAAAGATGAAATCTTGTCATTTCTCATATGTCTAGAGCTGAAGGAGCTTATGCTAAATGAAATAAGTTAAAAGGACAAAGACAAATACCCCATGATTTCACTCATAAGTGGAATTTAGGAAAACAGTACAAAGGAACTGACAAAAGTAAATCTGAACAAATTCTAGGAATATGACTGCATAGAGACTTCTATGTGGGGAGGGTTAGTCAAAGGGGGGAGAGAAGATTGTTTTTGGTGGAAGATTATGGGTGTTTTGGTGGTGGGCTTGGTGTTGTGACATATCTCTTAACTCATAGAATGTTGAAACCTATATCCCCAACTCATAGAATGTTGAAAACCATTGTTACTTCAATAAAATAATACAATTTTCCAAAAGATTTAAAAAAGTATTTTGGGCATCATAACATGAAATGAAAATATAATCAAAATTAATTAATTGTAATAAATTTTTACAAAGAATAGGAACTGGTGATTAATTTGCTACAACAGGAGAAAGACATTTACCTATCTCCAATAAGGATTTGAAATAACTTCCAAGCAATAAGTAAGAGTATTTTCAGACTATATTTTCTTGCCCTCTTACTAGTGTCATTCTCACCACAGTCTGTCCACTTGTCCCTTCCAAATGAGTGCTGCAAGAGATTTGTGCTGTCCTGAGTACAGGGGATGGTTTTTATTTAAAAAAAAACAAAAAAAAACAGGTTTCTGTGTTTTCCTTTAAGATATTTTGCTGGTTTTGCAAAAACGAGTGTTGAATTGCTGCTTCCCCCATTGACCTACTGCATTAAGCATTTCCCTATAGCTAATACAGTCACAACTTAAGATTTTAAAGCATTCCCCCAAGGAATTCCCACTACCTGCCGATTCTGGCTCCTGCCTTTGGGGACTTAGATACATCATCCAGACCTTTTCTTTTTAAGTAATGCAGAGTGATTATTTTGTTGAAAGACTCTTTTAGCCATGGAATTCCTGATTAGCTTTTTAGACAGATGAGTGCATGATCGATCTTAAATAGGTAGGGTTTCATGCCAGTCTGCTCTGCTGGTTTACTAAGTATAACAATGATAGTTCCTGTGCTGGTTGTGTGTATTCATAACCCCTCTGTAAACATAATTGCTTACACTACTTTTCAAGGGACGGTACGCTTGTAGAATATGGCAGTTGTCGACATTACTTGGTTTCGCCTATTTTCTACATACTTAATTGCTTTCTGAAACTAATATGACCATTTTCATGAGTCAACATCTTTATACCAGTCTAAGCTTTATATGAAAAAATAATTCTCCAAGGAGTGAACCAACAGCATCAGATTTCATGCATGCCACTTGATTTTGCTACACTCATTGGATATAGAAGGCACTGGAGGGTAATATTGTGGTGCAGTGTGTTCTTCATCACATTGGAAGCACTTATGATATAATATGCAATGTTAGCTCCCTCTTAAAAATGTGCTGAGAATGGAGTGGAGTGTGACTTTTAAGTCTTTGGAAAATGTCTTGTTATTTTTTTGTAGATGAAAATCTTAATTCTTCAAAAAAGTTGCTTAGCTAAAATTGTTTAGTTGCTATAAACAAGTATGTAGTCCTATACATCAGAGAGTAGCATCAAACCAGACTCTATATATCTGTAAAAGAAAGAAATGAGAGTTGATCAGCTGCCCAGGATTTTGTTAAATTTAAAAGCACATCAGTGTTTTATGTACATTTTTTGGTCTTCTCAAGTGTATCTACCTTAAAAGCAAATGCAAGACAGAGAACCTTTATGAGACAACTAACATTGTATTAATCATGTGTCATCGAACTCAAAACAACACTAAATAACTTGTAAAAGTCTGAATATTTTTAAAACATTACGCATATATATATATTTTTATAACTGACAGTAATTTAGGTGCTCACATATTACAAAACAAAAAAGTCCTCTAGAGAGAACAAAAAAGGCTATCACTAACAGATATTAGTTATAAATATTCTAATACTAGAGTAGATTTATTCTCAAATCTCTAGTAGTGAAAATAAATGAGATTAAGTCCCCTCCAGACATAGACACAACCAATAAGTTTATAACATAGTTATCATTATGTTTTATACTGCAGTCTTACTTTAAGAAATGAAACATTTTGATGGCCCTCCCTGGTGGCAAAATGGGGTAAAGCACGTACTATGCAGTGATCTGAGCCACTACAGCACGAGCTCAATTCCTGGCCAGGAAGGTGACCCATGAACATGGCAGAGCTCTCCTGACCTGCTCCCATCAGCAGTGGATTTCAGTATATCTGCCTCTTCTGCTCCCCACACTGTCTCTAGTGAATTCATTCATCCCCTGCACCTCTGGCTATACCCTAGTTCTTGTGTGCATAAATAAATCTTTAGGGGAAAAAAAGAAAGAAAGAAAACAACTGAACTTCTGTTGGCAGAAATAATTAGAAGGGGATAATATCTTGGGTAGCTTTCATTCTCTTGAATATGACTAGCAGCTAAAACCACATCCCCCATTTGTGAGCCGGTAAGCACTCAAGTTAGTGTATAGCTGCCTTCTTACAGAATATGCTCAATTCCCTTAGTAATATCAGCAAAATGGCCAGAATCCTTTAAAGAGCTGTTCCTCATGTGCCTTTTAATATTCCATTAATAAAGAAGATAAGTAAGTTATAGCTGGTATATGAGACATTTTAGTGACTTATAGATGAGCTTAAACAGTTCTTGTCAATGAGATTCAGAAGAAGGAGAGTGAATGAAACCTCAAACCACTGCTTCACTCTTCTTTTTTGTAGAATACATTTATAGCTCTGAACATTTCTTAGATTTATAGCATCCTGACTTGTTTTCATGCAGAGCAGCAATATCACATCACAACCCCTGCTGCTGTTTATATCAGCAGCAATTAAAATTTGATTTACTAATCCTTTTTTGCTGCCTCTTGAACTCCTCATTTTCCATTTTTGTAGAGCCTTAGAATTGTTCTAGTTGAGCAGCATGATTTTAGCACCTCCTCAACCATCTGGCACAGGGGATGAGATTTCTAAACAGAGTATTCAAAACAAAAATCACCTATAAGCAAGATCAGAATAGTATGGGCTAAAACAGGTAAAAGACTGAAAAGATAAAAGCCTGAATGACAGCAAAGAAAGCAGAACTCAAAAGAGGGTTTGAATAGAATCTTTGCCTGGGAAATGATCTGCTGTTTGTTTTCCAGATGAAGGAAAATCACAGTAGTCATAACTAAACCTTTTCTAATTCCAGGCTAGAGGCTGTTCACTTTAAGAATCAGAAAAATGTTGTTATGTTCTTTTATTCCACCATCTTTTCATATTCTTGACACTGTGATGTGCTCTTGCAATTAGGCTTTCGTTTATTCTTTTAGATGAGAAAACTTATTTCACCCACTGCCACTGTCATTTTATGTTAGTAAAGTCTTGTGAAGGTTTATTTTGAGAATATATTTATAGCTACTTAAGGGAAAGTCTTATTATCTTGATCCTAATGCCTGATATTTTCTGCTTTGAGAGTTGTCCATGTAGATAGAGCTTTAATCAGTAAAGTGATTTTAGGTATGACTGTTAGTCCAACAGTCTTTTTAATTTGAGTTTGATCTTCTTAGTGGTTATTGAAATTTATCAGTATGCAAGTCTAAAAAAAAAAAAAAGATGCTAGCTTTTGATTCCCTTCCCCCACTTCGGTTGATTGTTGTTCTTTTTCTGGGTTAGGATGATGTGCTATATAGACAATCATGTGTTGGCTGAAATGAATGTGGCTAGGCTAATATGGTGCTTTGCAGCAGTTGTTAATTTAAAATAAAAAACCAAACTCTCAGGGATACCAATGTACTTGATTTTGTTATTACTTGCTGTTGCTTCACCTTTCCTTCCATATCTTGCTCTCATGCTGCCTAATGCCTGAGCAGACTGCATCATCAGAGCGCCGAGGAGAGTGGGAAATCCAGCCCAGCCGGCAGACCAATACCTCATACCTGACGTCTCACTTGGCTGCAGACCGCCATGGGGGATCAGTGCAGGTACTTATTGCTTTTATTGCCTTGTCTTGGCCATCCCAGCTTTACTGGTAGAATGTTGGCTTGCTTCTGAAACTTGGGTTCTTTTGGAATAGAAGCTTACAGCAAGGGTGAGCCTATTCTGTAGTTAACTGAAATATCTGTATACTGACTTTCTGCCTCAGTGATTTTTTTGTAAGAGTCACTTGTTGATGATTGCTAGTTGTTTTCACTGACTAAAATCACCTATTTTTATCTCTGATTTTGATTTTTGGTGAAACTAATCCTACAACCTTGATCCACTAAGGATAAACCCTGAAAATAACAAGGTGGAATTGTGTTAGTGTCAAATCGCTAAGTTTGAAAGTTTTGAAACATATAGTTAGCATTTTTTTGGACTAGTATTTGCAGGGCTAGAGGATAGAAGACTGCATGTGTGGCTCGTTCCATGATGATCTATCTGTGCCTTAGTGCACAGAAAGGTGAGAATGTTAGGAGTTGGGCTGTTACATTTTTCTCCGTTGCGTAAGTGTGGTTTTGGAGAGTTATTTCTGATTTCATTTGGACTATGTTGAATATGTTCCCTGTAGTACTAAGAATATCTTGTGTCTATTAGCATCCCTTATATATCACTGTTTTGCTCATCTTAACCTAGTATTGTTTTCATACTGATGACACCACCTCAAGTGAACCTACCACAAATAAACTCAGAACTACCAATATAAATTCTTACAAAGGGGATTATAAACCTGTTGCATATAGAAATACACTTTGCAAGGAGTGATTCACACAAGATCATGTTTTCGTAGGAAGTAGTAGAGAATTGTCACCTATAAAAACCTCATAGGAGCATATAGGTAAAAAAATAACACATCTGCTCTGATCCACTCCTAATACAATATTAAAAGAATGGTAAAGGGGTTTTTTAAGGTGCAAACCATATATGGATGGAGAAAAATGAAGAGAAGGACACAGTAACAAATGTTAGAAGCTGGAAAGCAGATGGGCATGCCTCAGAAAACGGATTTCTTAGAAATCTCAAAAAAATAGAATCATGAGCCAATAAAGGAGAAACCTAAGGAGTCTATTTTCCTTGGGAATCTCCCAGAGGTTCAGGAATTGGCCTTCTATAAAGTGAAAGGGAGGCGTGGAGGGCCATGTGTTAAAATAAAGATTGGGTGAAAGTTTTAAAAAGCTAGAGACTTCTAGATGTATTCCTCCTCCTCCGGCAAAGACCAAAGATTTATTTTCTGGAGAAGGCAAAATAAAGAGTCTCTCAGTTTGGGAGTATAAGGCACATTTAGAGGAAGTATTATATTGAAAACAGGAAATTAAATGAATGTGTACTTAAGGAAAGGCGAGCTCATCTGATATCAAAGAATGGTAAAGGGGTTTTTTAAGGTGTAAATCCATATATGGATGGAGAAAATAGAAGAGGACACAGTAACAAATGTTACAAGTTTAGAATGTTAAACTCAACAGTTTAGAAAGGAAGAAGGACATTAGTATATGCTACTGAGTGGGATATAAACACAAAGTAACTAAGAACCATGTGCAAAAAATGAAAAAAGAAGGTATGGATACTGGACTGCCTCCTTCCCTCATTTAGAATGATAATATTCAGGCAGGTGAATCAGGGAATCTGACCAGCACATAAGAAAACATTGAGGTCCTTGTTGGTGGCACAAGGGATTCAGTCTCAATACTCCCCTGAACCTCTGCAGCATGAGTTAGATCCCCAGCCAGGACCTACCCACCTCGCACAGCAGACCTTTCCTGTCTTGCACGATGCTCCCCTCAGCATTGCATTTCAGTCAGTTGCCCTGTTCTTTTTTCTTTATTTATTTATGCAGTACAAAAACTAGGGTGCAGGCCAGAGGTGTGGGAGGGTAAGAGGATCCACCAGAGACAAAGTGGGAAGCAGAACAGGCAGATCAACTGAAATACACTGCTCAGGGGAGCAGCAGATGAGACAGGAGAGGTCTGCCATACCATGTCAGTCACCTCCCTGACCAGGGATTGAACCCACACCGCAGTGGCTGCAGATTGCCCCACAGTGCTGTGCTTTAACCCCTTGCACCACCAGGGAGGTTCCAACATATAGTCAGTATTTAAAATATTAATGAAACCTTTTTTAAAGTTGTCTTTGAAACCTAGTGTGCATTTTGATTGTCAGGTAAAGTGCTGCTTCCTTTGAATCAGCTACACTAACGCCTACACTTTGAATCAACTATTATTTTTCTTCAAAAAACACATTTTGGGAAATGGAACTAGTTCTTGAGACTACTGAAAAGGATGGTACCACTATTAAGGACTAAGGTCAAAGTTGCACTTAGTCTTTTTTCATGGATAATCCTATAAATATTGTTTGTTTTGGCCTAGTAGGATACAGACCGTATTCTAGATGGCACAAATAGAGCTTATTTTTTAATGTAGTTATGCTAGAAAGTAAATAAAAAGTATTAAATAATAATTTAATGATACCAAAATACTAGTTTTAAACCTGTACATTTCTTTACAGTTTTTCAGATTGTTTTCCTAGGTATCATTATATTTTATTGCCACAGTAATTAATGAGGCCCGACAGTATCAAGGTTATTAGCCTTTGTTTTACAGAATCAGAAACGAGGGCCCAAAAAGGATGTTGGTTTAAGCTTGGAATCCAACTCTTCAGTCACCTACACTATTACTTGTTCCAGTACATGTGTAGGTAGTAGCTCAGTGGTTTGACAAATTGTACCTCCAACTTGAGATAGTTAAGTGAGTGTTCTAAAAATTCAAATTAGTGCATAATTCTCAAGCATATTTTAGATGCAGTTACATTTAAGGTTAGACAACTGGCAGTCAGATTCCTTTTTGTGCCTGATTCTTTCAGGATCAGATGCTCATTGATACAGACAAGATGTCAAATCTCTAAAATTGGAATAACCTGCTCTTCTGTAGATTACCCTGTGCCATTGCTTGTAGGTCAAATGGCAATTCATAGCAAGGAGGAATTAAAGAGCATCAGACATGTAAAATTTGGTAAGCAGACACCATGACCTAGAGTCGCCAGGTAACTCAGTGGTGATGCTTGCTTCTGCTTTGTTAATGTTGTAGAAAACAAGACTTTGTATTTTACATTTTGTCTAGTATCTGAATTATTTATTAACAAACTTAACTGTGATTTCTCCTTTAATCCTTGTACTCAGAGTGAATTTAGCAGCCTTATCACTAGTGAGTAGCCAGGATGTGCTCACAAGAAGCAAATGGAGATGGAAAAATGACTAAGAGAGCATTAGTGAAGGATCTGTGGACTTCCTATGTCTACTTCCTCTCTCTCTTCAACTTGTTTTTACTGAACTTTTATCAGTTTTTTACTTTGAAATTCTCAAGTCTACGGAAAAGGTGTGCAGGAAAAATGGGGAGGGATGCATGGAATGCATTAAACCACTGTAAATTCTTAAATTAACAAGTAATATTAAGATATGTGTCAAATTTGCTTTAATTCTAATGGAGAAGGGTATCGTTGCTAAACTATTTGAAAGTGAATTGTAAACATCCTTACATTTCATTTTAAAATACTAAAGCCTGCATCTCCTAAGAACAAAGACATTCTTAGATATGACAATAACACCATTGTTATTGTCATAAAAATCATAAAAAGAATTCCATAATGTTTGACATACAGTCCATATCACAATTCCCTGAGTTGTTCCCCCAGATTTTTAGTATTCAGAATCTAATCAAGTTTCATACATTGCATTCAGTTATTATGTCCTTTATGAATTTGTTTTGTTTTGTTTTTAAAGTGTCCAGACTTGTCCTAAGAATATCCCACATTTTGGATTTTTTTTTTTTTTTGGTCATACTTACATTACTTTCATACTTGTCATTATCAAGTAAAACCTTTGACTACACAGTATTAATACTAATGTTATACAATATTCATTATGTCATGTTGGGAGATAAATAAGGTTAAGTGGTTCCATTAATTGGAGATGCTAAATTTGATCACTAGAAAAAATTTGGGTCTCCCTTGGTTAAGATCAAATGTAATGTAGGGTTTTTTTGACCCACGATAGTACTGTTTTAATTTTTTTAAGCATTTAGACTGCTAGTAAGTAGTATTCACTTTTTCCTTTGAATAACCACCCTAATGGCTGCTTATACTAAATATTTCCTACCTTCCTCTTTATGACTATACAGGCATTTTTTACAAATTAATTGCTGTGAGGACCGCAGACATAGAGGGAAAGAAGAAAAACTTTAGTGGAGGGAGAATAACAGTAATATGAACACTTATTGAGCCATTACCATGTACCGTGGCACTGGGCTAAGCCCTTTTGTGGATTGTCTGCATAGTAACCCAATTAGGTAAGCAGCATTGTTTCCCCATTTTACAGATTAGGAAGCTCAGGCAGAGAAAGATTGAGGACCATGCCCAAGGACCCACCGCAAGTAAGTGGGTTCAAATCCAGGGCTGACTAGGTAGAGCCTCTTCCTTTTTTATTGTGCTCTGCTGCCTCCGTTGTTGTCAACACTTCGTAGCAGACACTGTCTCACCCATTTTCTAGTGTGATTCTCATCTCAGCCTGTAAGAAACAATCTCAAATAGATAAAGTTACTTATCCGAGGACATATGATATCCGAACCATTTATCCTATTTTGTGGTTCTCTCCCATGTTTCAGCCAAGGTCTTTAACAACAGAGTGATTTGTCCAGCGGGGTCCCTTTTCCCACTCCCCAGCACCCACATAAACAGGAATCATGTGCTGGAATGAAACCAGGTGGCAGAAGCAGCTGCACAAGCAAGAGAAGCCTGCTCGGTTCCACAATACCCAGATGACAGGAGTGAGAGCCTTCAGTTACAATTCGGGGACCATCAGTGAGAAATGGGATGACACTGAACCTGAAATAAAGGTTGTTGAAATAAGACTGGTCTTCCAAGGGAGAGCGTTTACTTACCGTCTGCCCTCTCACCCAGAGAACATGTGGCAGTTTTGTTATTTGAGTAACTTCAAACCAGTGATCAAAGCCATGAAGAAATTTCTAAAGGAAAGTGTGATTGTTTATAGTTTTCTTGTGCCCACTGTTGATTTCCTTTTTAGAATTTTTTAAACCTCATCATTAAGTCTAGATATAGTTACAGCATAATTGAGAAAAGTAGAATTAAAGAGTTACATGACCTACTTCATAGAATTTTTATGAGGATTAAAATTAGAGATACCACACTCACACACAGTATAGCAGAGTGCCTAACAGAGTAGGCATTCAGTATGGGAGTTATTGCCATTATATGATTGTATCACAGACTTTGTGTTCTCACACAATAAAGGCTTGGGAGCCATCTCTAAATTAGGATAATTGGTCTCTCAACCCAGGAAAACAAACATTAAGCTAGAGAGACTAGATCTCCCTTAGTGACCCTTTCTTGCATTGGCAGGAGACTCCTTATTGCCATGGTATGTGTCACATTCTCTTTCTTTTTCAGGTGGTTAGCTCTACCAATGGAGAGCTGAATGTTGATGACCCCACGGGAGCCCACTCCAATGCACCAATCACAGCTCACGCCGAGGTGGAGGTAGTGGAGGAAGCTAAGTACGTTCATTTCTCAAGGGGGCTCTTGAGTCATAGGTTGAAAATCTTTTTCTCTGTCTCCTCTTCTCTGTGTGCGGCTCATTTCAGATTGGTCTCCTCATGCTTGTATCCACAGCTTTCTTCTTTGGACCATTTTGTGTTTGCATGGTACCTTAAGGCTGCTGCTGCCCTTCTTTAGCTGTGATTTCTGGGAAGACAATCACATTTTCCAGACCACATGGGGCAAAGGATATAGTGAATCAAAAGAATCATGACCTGAGAACGACAGTAGATAGTAACCATGAGCCTCTTGGGGGCCTGGAACTTCTTGTTCCTTATGGAATACAGAGAAAAGTGCTTCTGGACCATGCTCAGCAGCATTCAATTCTGGTTCTTAGCTAACAACTTGGTGTGGTATAGTCCTGGAGCAAGGGTTTCAGGACTGTTCTGTTCTCCCTTAAATGATTTTGAGTTCAGAAAGACTCACAAAAGTCAAGAAAGAAAAATACTCCTGCATCTGTGAGTGAGAGTCTTGGAAAGGAAAGGAAATCACTAATCCAGAGGGTAAGGAGGTCGCCCCACTCCCTTTTCTGCTTCTCTTGCATGTGTATGTCTTGCCTTGCCTGTCCCACAGCCTCTTGCTGCTTTCTGCATGGTCTGTGTTTAAACTCTTAGAATCTGGGTGGAAGGTGAAATAACTGCCCATCTGCTACAAACTCAGCAGTTTCTATTACTTCTTTCTCTTTTTGTCCCATTCCAAATTTAGATTCAGATTTAAACCCCAAGAAGATATAAGGTACTGAGAAAAAGGGGTTTGTTATGTGTCTGTAGGTGCTGCCACGCCTGGTGTGGACCACTTCTTGTGTAGCCCTCTCAGAACATTCAGGCTATGCAAGTATCTTATTCTCTGAAGCACACAACATAGTTATAGAGATATTGGGCCCAGATTGTCTTTGGGGCCCCCAAATAGCCTAACCAAAAGACATAGCAGTCTTAGACCTGTAGGTATAGTCAGGCAGTGGCGGCCGTGCATTCTTCTTCCTTCCAGAGGTATACTTGGCATGGTCGTCCATGCTGCGCATTCCTCTGCTTTCTTGCCCATGTTTATGATGAGCCCACCGGCAAGAGCTCCTTTCCTTGGAAAACCAGGACTTGAGGATTCTACCCAGTAGAAAAACTGAGGCTGTCTAAAGACTCAAGTCCCTCTTGCCTGTAGGCAGCTTCAGACGTTCTTTCCCCATAAGCAAGGCAGGAGGAAACCATTTTTATAAACAAACATGTTCTTCATTCACAGGAACTTTGGAAACTGTAATGATATTCACAGTTTCTCAGTTTCTATAATAAAACTTCATTCTTCCAAATAAGCAATATGTAGTGATCCTACCCTCTGGGTTCTCAGCCATGGCTGCACTTTGGAGTCACCTGGGCATGTCAGACAATACAAATGCCTGAACCCTGGTCCCAAAGAGTTTCATGTAATTTATCTGGTTTATGATCTGAGGAGTTGTAAAAGTTCAGTTGATTCAGACATAGCTGATTGCAAGTCACTGCTCTAGGTGTGGTCTGTTCTAGTGTCTGGGCTTAAAAGATGGCCTTTCCCATCCCCATCCCTACTACATTGCCACATCACCTTTCTATTACTTTGAAGTTTCTGTATTAATAGTATACTCTGAGTGCAAGGATTGGATGGGCTTTTAGTCTTATAATATATATGCACTATACAGATAATATGAATGGATTATCTTTGGAACCCATTCATCTCATTTCATTTTGGTAAGTGTGCACACTAATTGTGTATGTGATATGGTGTTTGTGTCCTGTGTGTAAGATGGGGACCATTCACAGAGAGATTTCAATCTGATGTATTCTATTCTGTTGTCATCTAAACTCCAGGATATAAAGAGTTTATAGATATTTGCCACTTGGTGAAAAGAACCACATTTCTTTGCTGCTACCTCTTTAAAGGTGGAAGCAAAGATGTGGAAACCAGAGGAGAGCAATTGAATTTGATCGTATGTCATCCAAAAGTGCATAGTTCCAAGTGTTTTGTATGCTGGTTTCACTAGTGATTTCATGTGCTACCAATCCATCTTGCCAGGAGGCGTTAGGGCATCACTATGTCTCTTACTTCTTGGTCTTCTGTGTGTACGGAGGGGGAAAATGAGGTGGGTAGTAGCCACGTGTTTGACCACTGCTTGGTCATTTTCATGGGAAGAAGTCACAGCTAGAAAAACACGAGGTGCCCCAACCAGCCCTCATTGCATGCAGCAGTGATGCCTTTTGCCCGTGTTTCATGTCACCTGTGTTAGGATTCAGCTCTTGGGCTCTGAGGAGACTGTGCGATACCTTCACTTGTAAGACTCTCTTTGGGGCTTTCTCACCTAGCTTGTTTTGTCTGAAGGAAGACTGAAATAGCAGAGTGTTGTGCTTTGCTTTACATAAAGAACAAACATCAACCATCCCTTTTTCACTAGCTATAGAACTCAGGTCTTATTTAAGTGTGATTGGAACAGTGGTGAGCCGAGGCAGCTTTCTGGTTGACTTTTGTTAGGGTAAGAACACAGGAATTTTTGGTTAGCTCTGACTTCAGCTGTAACTTAGCAAATGTGGACCTCATTTCCCTTGAGAATTAACAGGAGTGGGATTTAAGCCCTTCTTGGACTTACTGAAGGTCTGGTATCTTCTCTCTCCCTCAGAATAGTTGGGAGGTTAGCATCATACAGTGAGACTTTTGTAAGAACCAAAATGATGTGGCCTTGGTGTTTGAATTCTTATATGTGTTCTCTTTTTCTCGAAGCTGCCCCGGAAAGCCCACTCAAAACTCTCCACTCTTTCTGTTTTGCCTTACCCCTTATTAAGGCAGTACCAATTTCCCCTCCTTGACACTCCTGTCAGGCTCCTGTCTCCTCCACTTTAGTGTGGGGATCAAATGGCTTGGGCCTACTCACCCTACCTCAACAGAGGAAGAAACTAAACACAGACACAGACTGCATGTTTGCATGGCTCACAGGGAGTCGCTTCCATCTCACCTCTGTGGACTAATATCTCTCTTTCTCTTTCTTCCTTTCTGTGTTTTTCTCTTTACACACTCTGTAGCTGCCTGAAAATGCTCAACCTGTGGTGAGTCCCTCTCTCCAGTCCACATGCTAGGGGAGCGGACCAGACTAGGCTGGGATTGGCTAAGTCAAACAAAATGCCTTAGGAACACTGAATGGCTTCCCTGTGCCACCTTGTGCTGTAACTACCCAGACTGGGGAACTAGATCTACAAGGTGGGGATGGGCAGGCCTATACCCAGGAGTCAGTCTTTTCCATCTTTCCTTTTAAACCCACCTAACTGCTGCCTCCTGCTGTCAAAACAATATCCCACAGTATCCAAAATAAATTATTTTTAGTGAAGTGAATTTTCTCCCAAATTAGTGCAACCAGATATTATCAGACAGAAGGGAACAGAGATAGGAGGAAGAGGTTACTCTCTCAGTCGTTTAGGTTATTTCTCACAACCCCAGGGACAATTGTTGCCAAATCATCTCACATTCTGCAGCTTGGTCTCTAACCTAGAAATTGGCTGCTTTGTAAAAATTTTGTCTTGATTCTTTGATCTGTAAAATATGAATCTCTTGAAGAAAGAAAGAGAGCTCCTTTTGGGGGGAGAGATGGACATTTTGTTGTTGTTTGGGTTTTTTTGTCTGTCTTTTATTCTTTCTTTTTCTTTCCTATCAGAGAACATAGTGGGGCAGGGGCTCACTTGGCTATGAGATATGGAGCTTCTCTTTTCCACTCCCAGGAAAGGCTTCTTGAGTGCCTTCTTAGAAACTCTATGGGGTATATGGGAGGAGATGCCCTGAAAAATTGATGTTTGGTGAGTCACAATCTTGCTGCAGGACAGAGCCTCTTCCTGGACACTGTCTGTGACCTTCCAGGTGCTCCTGAGCTAGTTGGTCTATTGTCGTCTGCAATTGTAACTCTCCCACTTTGTCTGAATGCATAAGGGGATATTCTCTGTACTGATGACAGCCTTCTGAACTCTATACCTAGTTTGTTTCTGTTTGTCATCAGTGACGGGGTTGGCCACCAGTTTCTGAACCCCAACTGTCTAAATCTAGTTGCTTGTGGGATTTCCCTGGAACAGGGATATATTGAAATTAACTAGGTTGTATGTAGATAGTTTGTAATCTCTGGTTTCATAGCACATTTGGCCCATTTATTTAGCAAACATGTCTGCGTAATCTGACATTGCTATGGTCCATCTTTTCCTGTGAGATGTCATTTCACATGATTCTAACGGCAAATACTAGGCCTTCTGTGTGCTCATCCAACTCTGTGCTTGGAATTCTATGTGGTCCCAAGGCCTGGCCCAGAGAGTTTCGGTACCAGCCGGCTGGACAGATAGGACAGACATTTGGAAGAACATGTAGTTCTCCAAGACATTTACATTATTGTCCCTTGAGGTCACTGTGAACGGGAATGATCCGGGAGGTCATTGTGAGTATCGTGGAACTTGAACCAAGTACTAGAACAAGAGGAGAAGAGCAGAATTGCAAAGGAATAGCAAAAGGGGGCAACCTAGCACATAGTGAGAAAATGACATGAAAATGGTAATGGCTCAGAAGCCTGGGGGAAGAGCACTTGCTGACTTGTAAAGAGAAGTAGATCAATTCTGATTCTTAAACATTGCAAATTTATGGTCAACCGATTAAAGAATCAACTAGAAGGTCCTCCCTGGTGGTTGAAGGGGTTAAATATCAGCACTGTGAAGCTACCTGCAGTCACTGCAGCCACGAGTTCAATCCCCAGCCAAGGAGGTAACTCACATGCGTGGTAGACCTCTCCTGCCTCATCTGCTGTACCCCTCAGCAGTGTATTTCAATCAGTCTGCCTAATCTGCTCCCCACTGTCTCCAATGAATCTTCTTACTACTACCATCCCCCCACACACCTCTGGCCTAGATTCTAGTTCCTATATGCATAAATAAAATAATTTTTAAAAAACGATAAAGAATCATCTAAAAGGAAACATAAGACATGAGGAGGGGTTCATCACTTTCCTTCTTCCTCTCTCCTGAGAGAAAGATACCTATTATATAGTCATTCAGTAGACTTGGTCTACTTCCTGCTTTTAATCAGCAAGGAACCCCAAGAGTTGAAGAGCAGATTGGGCCTATTTCCTAGTGGGTAGAATTATTAAAAGCTTCTGCTATTGTTTGAAGCTTTAGTTATAGTTATTGGCAAAAATTAATCTGGGACTATAAACGCTAGGATCCTCCAGTTAGATGAATTCAGCATAACGCACGAGGTTATGGTATGCATGTAAGCAGATACTGATTTTTTATCTGTGGTAAAAGAAAAGTTGTGCGATTTTTAATGGACAAAAAGCATTTTACATTATTTTATGACTGTTCTTACTTAAAAACATAAAAATATATTCCAAAAGGAATAAAAAGAGAAATTTACTTAAATGCTAGTGGATCCTTTGAGATGATCATGGTTAAACAGGGAGTAGGGAACTCTATTATTAAATACTGGCACTTCTATGAGATTTAATTTGCCTCATTTAATACTAGTTTCAGGACATTCAACTTAGAAAACATGCATTTTCTACCTCATATGTGCAGGAAAAGTCTTTTTCCTGAAAACTTTTCTAGGGATTCCATTGAAAAGCATTGATTATTTAAAAGAATTTATTCAGTCTTCAAATACACAAATACTATAGATATATTCAGAAAATCTGTTTTAAGACTCCCTTAAGTAGCTCCTGTTTGCATTATTTCAGTGCTTGATTTATAGATAAAGTGAGCATTATGTTGATATTGTGTAGATGTCTATTTCTGCATTCAGGAAATTTTCTCTGAAATTTTAGTAATCTGTCCATTGGGTGTAGGAACACCAAAGTTCAAACTTTAAAAAGGAGGGAGGAGGGCCCTCCCTGGTGGCGCATTGGGTTAAAGCACAGCACAAAAAAGCTTAAGCCACCTCCACATGAGTTCAATCCTCGCCTGCCCCAGAGGAGATCCACATGGCGTGGCAGACCTCTCCTGACCCGCCCGCTGCTCCCCTCAGCAGTGTACTTCATCGATCAGCCTGTTCTGCACTCCACTCTGTCTCTGGTGAATCCTCTGACCCTCCGCATCCCTGGCCTATACCCCAGTTCTGTACGAATAAATAAAATAAATCTTAAAAAGAAAAAAGGAGGGAAGGCCCTCCCTGGTGGTGCAATGGGCTAAAGCACAGCACTATGAAATTATTGCAGCCACTGCAGCATGAGTTCGATCCCTGACCAGGGAGGTGACCCAAATGGCCTAACCCGCCTGCTGCAGTGTATTTCAGTATATTTGCCTGTTCTCTTCCCCACTCTGTCTCTGGTAAATCCTTTCACCCCCTCCCATATCTCTGGCCTGTACCCCAATTCTGTATGTATAAATAAAATCTTTAAGAAAAAAAAAAAGGAGGAGTCTTAGTTATGGTAGAGAAGTTAGAAGTAAGGGAATTAGGTAACAGTTCTTTATTCCTATATGAATTCCATATGAATATTCCTGGCATTAAACCTGGAAGAATCAGACAAGAAACCCAAAGGTAGTTTTCTCAGAAAAGCTTTTTGTTCAAAGATCCAGCAATTCTGCAATATATTTCCAGCTTCATTCCCTTCCATCTCCTAGCATCTTTGATTCACTTACCACCTCACATTCTCATTTCTCATGTGTCAGCTTCCTAAAAAGGACATATCTTTTGCACTAGCTATATCATAATCTTCATCACCATCTTTTGGAGTAGTCACTGCTTAAGCAAGAGATACTTCCTGTTCAAAAAAGAGTAAGGAGGGAACACTCTGGCTTAGGGATATGCCAGGACTGTGGCTGTTGCCCAGGAGGCAGTATTGTAGGACTGAGGAGAGCAGGTGCCAACCTCCACCCTAAACAAGGCAGTTCTTTAACCGAATCTGGCACAGCAGCAGTCTCAGGAAGATAAATTGAGGAGGACTCTGCAGCCCAGTGCTTCCTGATGCTTGGCTCCTGGGCTGCGGCATTGATTTCCCCCCTGAAGGAAGATTGAGCTGCACTTGATTTCATGAGCCAGACCTTCTGTCTACTCCAGGTAGCTCAATTGGGGTGAGGCTGGAACATGAAGAGCTTTTTAAAGATTTATTTATTTATTTATGCATTCAGAGTTGGGGTGTAGGTCAGAGGTTGGAGGAGGTGAGGGGTGAGAGGATTCACCAGAGACAAAGTGGGGAGCAGAACAGGCAGATGTACTGAAATACATTGCTGAGGGGGAGCAGCAGGTGGGTCAGGAGAGGTTTGCTGTGCCGTGTGAGTTAGTTCACTGGCCAGGGATTGAAGTTGAGCTGCCATGGCTGCAGTAACTTCATAGTGTTGTGCTTTAACCTGTTGCGCCACCAGGGAAGGCCTGACATGGAGAGTTTGTTTTTGTTTTTGTTTTTATAACAGTTTATTTTTACATCATTTTGTACATTTTTTCCCCATCTCAATTGTAATCCCTGTGGGTTTTCCATCACCAAGTCACCCGTGTGCCATCACCATAATCCTATGCACTTCCCTCCCCACCCCCCCATTTTTGATCCCATTCCCCACTCCACCCCTGCAAAATGTCTCTGGTATATGGTTGTTCATTATTCTTGTTATTTTCTCGCCTGGTCCATTATACTCCTGCTATGAGTGAAACCATCTGGTATTTTTCTTTCTCTTTCTGGCTTATCTCACTCAGCATGATCTTTTCCAGCTCCATCCAAGTTGCTGCAAAAGACATGTGTTTCTCTTTTTTGGTTGCTGAGTAATATTCCATTGTATATAGGTACCACGTCTTTTTTATCCAATCATCTACTTTTGGTCGTTTGGGCTGCTTCCATGTTTTTCCAGTTGTAAATAAAGCAGCAATAAACATGGGGGTGCAGGTGTCTTTTTCAATCAGTGTTTTTGTGTCTTTTGGGTAGATACCTAGGAGTGGGATTGCTGGGTCGTAGGGAAGCTCCATTGACATGGAGAGTTTTTAATCCTTCATTGATAGCATCATGAAATTCTACAGTTTAGTCATACTTTCCATGGAATTTACTTGCTTTTAGTAAACTCCATCCCCACTTGCCAGTGAACTTAAATAATTTTTCCCTCTGTATCAGGGTGCAGGCTGCTATTATGTAGCCCATGGTATCTCCAGGCTAGGTACTAGGTAGAGATGGGGCATCTGGGTAAGGTATTAGACTAGGAAGTAATAAGTCTTTTTTTGTCCTCCTCAAAATGTCTGTTTTGGCCCTTCTGAGCCTACAACATTTGTAATTAGGTTTGGTGGCTGCAGAGTGAAATGAAGCAGCTATTTCCTTTGGCTTTCCTGGTAGACAGTTGACACTGCCTCCAAAATGGGCATTTGTAGATGGGCAGCAGCCCTGTGGGTGGGGGCACTGAGGGAGAATTCTACTCCCTGCAGTAAAGCAGGAGCAGGCAGAAGTTCTTTGGAAGCTGCTGGCCTCCTGCATTGACTTGTAATGTTCCTTGTGCTCCAGGTGCTGCTGTTTCTTCAAGAGGAAAAGGAAGAAGACTGTTCAGCGCCACAAGTGACCAGTGCCTCCCAGGAGTCCTCAGGACCTGGGGACTCTGACTCAATTGCACCCGCAGCTCCTGCCATTTTTCATTGGAAGGGACTCCTCTGTGGGGGAGGGTGGAGATCCAAACCAAAAAGAAGAAAACAGATGCCCCCAGAAGGAGCCAGTGTGGGCAATCCAGGCCCAGTGGGTCAGAGGTTGTCCCCACCTGCCTGAGGCTCTGAGCAGGTCCCAGAGCTGCTGCTCCTAGCTTGCCCTCTGGGCTGCCTGGTTGACTCTCCTTCCTATTGTTTACAGTGAAGGTGTCATTCACAAAAACTCAAGGACGACTACTCTTCTCTTCCCTCCCTCAGTTTACTACTAGTTCTTGCCCTCAAGTCCCTCCAGCATTAAAGCTTGTGAGTTCAATCAAGGCTTTGCCTGCTGAAGGAGCTCTAGAGGCTGGGGCTATGGCCAAGAAGGTAGGAGGAAGATGGCAGAATGGGGCTGGAGAAGGGTTTTCTCCACCTACCAGTTGTTTCTGACAGTGTGGCTCCCTCTTCCTCTGTGCCTGTGCAGCCTCCATCCCCAGCTGGCCGAGGGGTGCAGGTTACCCTTCTTCCCTCCCCATCTTGTGAAGTTACACTGTAGGACACAAGCTGTGAGAAATCTGCAGTCTACTGTCCCTATGTGTTGGCATTCTTAGCTTTCTTGACAAGTGAACTCTGTTCTCCAATGGTAGTAGGACAATGCAAATTGTTCTGAGCAAAGGAAAAAAACTGACTTTATTGCACTTTTAGTTTGTTTTTGTTTTTGTTTTTGTTTTTAACAAAAACATGGCAGATGCATATTGTGTCTGGTTATATTGGGAGTTTTACTTTTTTTCTGTTTTGAGTGGGATGGGGCCAGCCAAGCCATTCAGAGAGAACATGGGTCCAGAGGACATTCTCAATGGAAAGAGTTGGGTCTGCAGCACCCAGAAGAGAAGAAGCCAAACTCTCTGTCATTCTGAGTAGAACACTCAGGTTGGCAAGGAAACATACTTGAATTTTTATTCATCTTCTCAGCTGCTGAAGAATGTCCCTACTGGAACCTCTTGACCTCATCAGCCTGCTGTTTGGACAACTTGGCTCTCCAGCACACAGGATGAGCCTGCCAAGCCAGACTGTGATCAGGATGCAGCTTATCCCAGAGGAGATGCTTAACAGAAAATCCAATCTGTTTCCTCCACTGCCAGGGACTTCCAGCTAGATTGCCACCTGACTTCTTAGTGACTTGGGGAACAAAATTGGTGATGAAACAGCCCTAACATGTTGCCACTAGTGGACAGAGAATGGAGGAAAATGAACCTACCTTCCAACTGCCAGAGGAACCTCAGGATTTGGCATCAGAGGGCCAGGAAAAGAAAATCGCTGTGTACTGTCTGCCCCAATAGCTAAGTTACAGCATTTGGGCTGGCCTGCCTTATCACAAACTGAGCCCTTGCAAATACGCTCCCAGTAGGTCAGTAGCAGTAGACTTAGGACTCATTACATAGGACTGCAGTGGGCAAGAGGGTAAGGTTTGTTAGTGCTGGGAAATTGCAGGGAAAAGGAAACTGAACTGAAAGCTCTGCATTACCTTCCTGTAAGCTGGCCCTGTGTCTAGAGCATGTTCTCCCCACTGTAGTCTCCTCCCATGGTATCTCTCCTGACCTACTGCCATAGAGCATCTTGGTTCCTTCTTCTCGGCCTGAAAACTCACATGTAGACAGCTAATCTTCTTATGTGCAGTTTTCATTTGAGTCCAGGCTTGTCTAAACAGTGACCTGTTATTCCAGATGTGACAGAGGAGAGAGGATTGTTTACATCAGGGGAAAAGATCTTGTATCTTGGAGTAGAAAGAGCTAACTGACCAACAAAGATAATGGTGGTGACTTTGTCTGGTGGGTTTTGCAGCACAGAAAGCATTGTGCTGACTCAGGTTTAGGGCTGTCACTTAGACTGGAGGCTATGTTGGGGTACTTTGTGGTGGTGGTTCCTGACAAGTCCCTGGTGTACCTGAGATGGAACAGAAGTAGCATTAGCATGAATGACTTACTGGGGTTCACCTGTTCCCATTGGACTTTCGCGAGAAAATGTCATTTTACTGGCTTCAAACCTGCTTAGCTTATGGAAAGATTGTAATTTTTCGTTTCAAGAAATTTTCTGCATACAAATCAGTGTGACTGGGAGACTCAGTGTCACACCCATTCCCCATAAGGTTTTTGGATATTGGGGTTTGCTTCCTTGACATTACCTAGTAGTTAAGGCACCATTACCAAAACTTGGATAGTTTCTCAGTTGGCATTTGGGCAGCTCTAATTTCCCATATGAAAACTTTAATTTCCTCATCCCTGTATAACAAAAGCCTTGCCTCTCAAGGGAGGGCAAGGGGAAATGGTGGCAAAGTCTGGAGCCTCCTGAAACTCCATATGCCACTAAGTGCCTCCCTCCCCTCCTCCTTGTGCTTCCACAAAAAGCAAAGGCAGTGGCCAGCTTGGCTGCAAGGACCCCCCCCTTGCAACAAGGCTTGTAACTTTTTTTGGTCTTAAATATTTTTAAAGGCTAGCTCTTGAGGGATCGAACCTGAGCATTTGAGGAGGTTCTTCCTAATGCACTGTTATCACACACTGACCCCCCCCCCAAATCTTTTACTAAATATTGATTTTCATAACAAAGGTGAAGAGCTCCAGGGCCTTCTGACTTGGAGGGTAGTGGTGGTCTTCCCAGGACCTTTGGCATGACAAGGTGGACCCCAGCTCCTGAGAAATTATGTTGTGACTTTCTTTAAAATTAGTAATACATAAACACACACCTAAGAAGGAATTTGACCATCAGTTTTATCCCTACCAGCACATCAGCCCCCTCCTACCCCCCCCCCCAACCGCAGCCCCATGGCTATAGTTGCTTAACTAGCCTCAGCCAACTTTTTGGTTGGGCACTTCACCCACACACCCAGACCCACTAGCTCTGTAGTTTTGAACTTACCCATTTCAAAGCTTGATTCCTAGGGATCTTTTTAGGGGCGTGGAGGGGGCTGGTTGATATCATTGTTTCTGAATTAGCATTAAGCACTAATTCAGCATTCATTCATTAAAAAAATAAAAGTACCTTCATGTTTATACCGTTATTGCGAATTCTTCTAAGCCCTGTAGTCCCTCAGGTATTATATCCTAAGCAGATTGAGACAGACAGTACAGAAATCCACCAAGGTATAAAGGGTTCTTTTCCTTGTCACCAAAAAGCACGTAAGGGTTGATGGCCGCCAGGCGTACTCTTTCCGGGTCATCTTACTCCAGATGGCTCTGTAAGGGTGGGCAGAGCATGCCAGCAGCCGGTGTACTTTCTTGGCTACATGAATTAACATTCTCCTGCCACTTGGGATCGACCTAGGCATAAGTAAGGTTTAGGCAGGTACAGCCAAAGGAATTGTCTGTCTCAGTAACTTCCAACATAGTTCAGTGGAAACATACACTGGTAGTGCATATTCGGTGTTGATTCTCAGTTAGTAACCACTTTTAGTGTCAGAATTCTCAGTGATGGTAATGTTCTACCAGTGGTTACTAAAGATCATAGCCTTAACTTTTTTATATGCAAAAGATATAATCTATTTCCCCTCCCAGTGAGCAAGCATGACCCGTATTTTTCAAAAGTTCTTCCATGGCAGCCCAGAAAGCTTCTCTTCAAAGGAACTTGATCTTCTGATGCTCTCTCCCAAGCCAACAGGTCTCTTGTGTCCTATTCATCTCTTCCATTTTCGTTCCAGTTTTCATTCCTAATAATTTGCCCTGACAGTGTCCTTTCTAGCATCGGAGCCATGTTTGGGCTGTAGTTTTCAGACTGGAAGCTTGTAGCACCATCCCCATCATTGCCACAAGTTGGGCAGATGAATTCCAAAAACCCTTCAGGAGCCAGGACTAGACTCCCCCACCTGAATTGGTCTTGTGAAAACAGGTTCTTGTCTCTGGGGTTCTTGATTTTGCTAACTCTAGGACTACAAGAAAGTCCCATCTAGAGGTTGATGTCAGTGCCTCATGTCTTTCCTTTGATGGGTTGGTGGGAATCAAAATGGGATATGTTGTGTGTGTGTGTGTGTGTGTGTGTGTGTGTGTGTGTGTGTGTGTGTGTTTGGGGAGGGGATAATTTTGTTTCTGAATGAAAAAAATAAGGCAGAATGCCTGGCCCTCCTGAGGGTTTGCAGTTATAAGCAGTGTTTTAGCCACCAATAATAGATTGTGGAAGTCTTTGATTAAGCGGTCTTAAAAACATGTTTCCTAACTCCTTTTACAAGTGACTTTTGAAAGCAAAAGAATAGTTTTCTCCATTGTATTCAAAATAGTAAGTAGATTGCCATGAATATAGACAGTAGTTGACATATTTCCTAAAAAGCAACGAGGAAATCCACTCCAGTATTTGCAGATTAGCTTACAAAGGAAAAAGTGAACACATGCTCCATTTATTTCTAGCTTGATGATCAAACTTGGTATTATAAAGAAACAGTCAGTTCAGACAAAATTTTTCATTTTCCTTTTTATTTTACTCCTCACAATCATCCTTCTGGTGCCATTTCCACTTTCAAAGTCTCAAGAGCAGAGGGTTATTTATGGTAATCAGTGGAGGTGCAGTGCAGCCATCCCAGTGATACAGAGGACAGCTGTCCTGACTGCCTCTCCCCCTCTCCCCTTTTTTCAGAGCAGGTGAGACATTTTCAGTGTTCCTCTTTATGAGCTCAGACCAAATCCCAGGCCAGCCCTTGCATGGAAATATTTTTTAAGAAGCTTATCAGTTTGTTAGGAATGTCTCAGGAAAGATGAGCCATTTCTTTGGAGGGAAATACATGTACAGATGGGGTGTGTGTGGTGGTATTAGGATGCCTGTGTGTGTTTGTGTGCTCATCTGTGCACATTTCACTCCCATAAAGACTCAGCCCAGGCTGCTGGGACCAGGTGTTCCTGAATATTCTAGTAACAAATGAGCTTCTCAAATTAGTGTCACATCAAGTTGGCTTTGGGTATGAGCCCCATTATCAAGCAGAAGAGTAAACAGAAAAGACAAGAGATTAAACCAAAAATATAAACCTCCCCCAATGGAAAATAATGTTGACTTAAAAATTCCCATTGGAAATATTACAATGCTCTAATTTATTATATTATTATTTTGTCTTTCTTTAATCTTTTCCATTGTACTTTTAAAAAGATGTTGGGATGTTGATTGCAGTTTTTTTGAAACTAGATAATGTATAAATCAGCTGTGGAAATCAATTTTAATTGATGTGTGGATGTGTCTGATTATTGTTAAATGCATTTTTCCCCCTTTGTTTTAGATGTGTAATGTTTCATAAACCCTGGCACTGGTGGAAAAGCTCAGCTGTGAAAATAAAACTTGTAGTATTTTTTAACATGTCAATTTCAAGTGTATTTGAAATGGTTCCTTCAGGAGAGAGATTTGTATACCATTAGGAAAAACTCCTCTGCAGAGGAAGTAGCCTTTTTTGGAGAAAATGGAAAATGGGTCTTGATATGTAATCTCAGAGTCGCCCATTTCCTAGGGCACCATGGAAAACACAAATGTGATCTTTAAGTATACTTCTTCCCCAATTTGGGGGAGGAAAGGATTCAGTTTGCACCCTTTTTGTATGTAAAATAAAATGTCTTACCTTTCTTGGCTAATGCTGCTTGTTTTGTTGGTTAGTTTGTCTAGTTTTACTCTCCCCTCACTCATTTGTAATTAAAAATTCAACTAGGACTATTTTTGATTTAATTTAAGGCCTCTAGTGAATGAAAATAACACCTGATCCTTTGGCATTCTGACTTCACTTCTTTGAGTTGAACATGGCTTTCTCCTATAAGTCACTTTAAAATAAATATTCCTGTCAGAATTTGGACATTTATCATTCACATACAGTTAGGTAGTAAAACATTGGGAAGATAGGATATGCGTTGTGGAGCAGCTTTGGAATAATAGCATTATACTTTTGCCCTGGTGAATACCTGTACAGATTGGTGATGTAACTGGGTGTGTAATGTAAAGCCACAAATATAGTGTGAGTATATATACATTTATTTATACATAACTGGAGTACAGACCAGAGGGTGCAGGGGCAATGAGAGGATTCACAAGAGACAGAGTGGGGAAGAAGAACAGACAGTACACTGCCTGAGGGGAGCAGCGGGCGGGTCAGGAGAGGTCTGCCATGCCTGTGGGTCACCTCCCTGGCTGGGGATCAAACTCACTGAAGTGGCTGTGGCTGGCTTTCAGTACTGTGCCCTAACCTGCTGCACCACCAGGGAGGGCCCAGTATAGTATATTTATGGCCACAAAGAAACTACCAATCAGTATGATTGGGTGTTTCCCATTTTTTTGTTACTACTCAACTACATAGTCCTCAACATTGTCAGCAGGGTCTCAGAAACTGGAATTTAAGCAAAGTTAACATAGCAACCAATTTTACCAGTAGACTAATACTTGTGGTCACAAACCATCACCAAACTTCTAAATAAAGATGCAAATCACTTCCAGTATTAAACAATCATTTGTAGGTTCACGCACTCATTTTCCAACCTACATATTCCAGTTCAAGGTTGTGGAAGTCTGGAGCCCACAAGGAGGGACCAACCCTGGACAGGGTACCCATCTAGCACAGCGCACATTCATTCACTCTCTAACTTGGGCAGTGAGGATACTCCAGTGACTCTAACCTGCACATCTTTGGGATTTGAGAAGAAATGAGATTTGGAGAAAATGCAGAGACAGACATGACAAAAATGTGCAAACTCCACACTGACATTGGCTAGGAATTCACTTTTTCTTATCAATGTTATAATGACATTGAACAAAAAGACATTATCTGAGGGCTTGCATTATTTAAAAAAATTTTTTAACAAGCAGAAAACGTTAAAGATCATCATGAGAAGAAAATCTCAGGATATTGTATTAATCAAGCTTACTCTCAATAGTGGATAGGTAGAGGGAAGGCTACTTACAAGTCATTTTTAGCACTCACTGGTGGAAGTTGGCAAACATTTTACGCTGTGACTGGACAGCAAGATGAGACCAGAGAGTAGAAAAGGGGGCTTGACAAAAAAAAAAAAAGCAGTTGTGGTAAGTTGTTTACAAGATGCCCTTTATCAGTGTGATAGTTTCACCTGGCTGAGATGGTCTGGATTGAGGTGTGAGGATTACAGATAGTAAATGTGATTTTATTAATGAGAGAATTACCTGTGGAAGCTCTTCAGCCTGCTTGTGGTGACCTCTGTGTAAGCTGATGCCAATGTAGCCAGTAGCTATATAAGTGAGCACACTCAGGTCAGCACTGCATATACAGATCAGAGTGCAGAGTTCATGCAAACAGAACCATGCCTACTTAGAATCTTGCTGTGCAGACCAGGAATTTTTATTAACACTAATCTTTGAAAATCAGTTTTAGGGCTCTCCCTGGTGGTGCAAGAGTTTAAGTAAGAGGTTAAAGCACAGCACTATGAAGGTATCCACAGTCACTGCAGCAGGAGTTTGATCACCAGCAGGGGAGCTGCCCCACAGGGTGCAGCAGACCTCTCCTGACCGCCCTCTGCTTCCCTCAGCAGTAGAGCTGTCTGTTCTGCTCCCACTCTGTCTCTGGTGAATCCTCTCAGCCTTTCACCTCTGTCCTGTATCCCAGTTCTTATATGCACAAATAATTTTTTATAACAGTTTATTTTTACATCATTTTGTACATTTTTTTTTCCATCTCAATTGTAATCCCCGC